ACCCCATAACCCCACCCCATAACCCCAAATCCCAACCCATAACCCCACCCCATAATCCTACAACCCCATAAATGATCAATAAATCCTATTATGGCTGAAGTGATCCCATAAAAGTCCGGGAATCCCATTACGGGATCGCTCTTTTGTTGACCCCATCAAGACTGCATCGACCCCATAAGGGATCAGCCCTATAAAGGATCGACCCTAAAAAAAATCAACCTCATACATGTCAACCCCATAAAGATTTACTCCACAAAAGATGAACCCCATAAAGGATCGAGCCCATAAACGACTGATCCCATAAATGACTGATCCTGCAAACGACTGATCCCATAAAGATCGACCCCATAAGTGATCAACCCCTTACAGATTGATCCTATAAAGACTGACCCCATAGAGGATCAACCCCATAAAGGATTGACCCCATAAACATTGACCCTACAAAGGATGAAACCCATGGAGATCAACCCTATAAAGGATCGACCCCATAAAGATTGACCCTATAAAGATCGACCCCATAGAGGATCGACCCCATAAAGGTTGGGGTGATCCCATCATGGTTCGAACGACCCCATAAAGATTGACCCCATAAAGGACTGATCCCATAAAGATCGACCCCATAAACGATCGACCCCATAAATGATCAACCCCTTAAAGATTGACCCTATAAAGGCTGACCCCATAGAGGGATGACCAACGTCAAAATCCCCCAAATGGGGTCAAAATACCCTAAATAGGAGCAAAATATCCCATATAAGTTCCAAATTCCCCAAATGGGGTCCAAACCACCCCAAATGGGGTCGAAATACCCCATAGAGGTTCCAGATCCCCTAAATGGGGTCTAAATATCCCATATAGGTTCCAAGCACCCCATATGGGGTCAAAATCCCCCCTATAGGGTTCAAATCCCCCAAATGGGGTCAGAATACCCCATATAGGGTCCATACACCCCAAATGGGGTCAAAGTACTCCAATGGGGTCAAAATATCCCATATAGGGGCAAAATCCCCCATAGAGGATCCAGTCACCCCATATAGGGTCCAAATCCCCCATATAGCTTCCAACCACCCCATATGGGGTCAGAATCCCCCATATAGAATCCAACCCCCCCATATAGGGTCAGAATGCTCCATATAGGATCCAATTCCTCCATATAGGGGCAGAATCCCCCATATAGGGTCCAGCCCCCCCCATATGGGGTCAGAATCCCCCATATAGGATCCAACCCCCCCATATGGGGTCAGAATCCCCCATATAGGATCAAACTCCTCTTATGGGGTCAGAATCCCCCATATGGGATCAAACTTTTCTTATGGGGTCAGAATCCCCCGTATAGGATCCAACCCCCCCATATAGGGTCAGAATGCTCCATATAGGATCCAACCCCCCCATACGGGGTCAGAATCCCCCATATAGGATCAAACTCCTCTTATGGGGTCAGAATCCCCCATATAGGGTCCAGCCCCCCCATATAGGGTCAGAATCCCCCATATAGGGTCCAACCCCCCCATATAGGGTCAGAATCCTCCATATAGGATCCAACCCCCCCCATATAGGGTCCGAATCCCCCATATAGGGTCCAGCCTCCCATATAGGGTCAGAATGCCCCATATAGGATCTAACTCCTCTTATGGGGTCAGAATCCCCCATATAGGGTCAGAATCCCCCATATAGGATCAAACTCCCCTTATGGGGTCAGAATCCCGTATATAGGGTCAGAATCCCCCATATAGGATCCAACCCCCCCATATGGGGTCAGAATCCCCCGTATAGGATCAAGCTCCCCTTATGGGGTCAGAATCCCCCATATGGGATCAAACTCCTCTTATGGGGTCAGAATCCCCCATATAGGATCAAACTCCCCTTATGGGGTCAGAATCCCCCATATAGGACCCCCCCCCAGCCCCATACGGGGTCCCAGCACTTCTTTATGGGGCCGCGTCGGTTTGGGGTGGGGCACAGCTCCGCCCGCGTCGGTGATTAATGGGGGCGGGTAACGATTAATTAGGGCCGTTAATGAGGCCGCAGGGGAAGCGGGGCGGCAGCCGTGGGGCTGGGATGGGGCCGGCAAGGCCAGTCTGACGGGGGG